AGAAAGAAAGAAAGAAAGAAAGAAAGAAAGAAAGAAAGAAAGAAAGAAAGAAAGAAAGAAAGAAAGAAAGAAAGAAAGAAAGAAGGAAAGAAAGAAAGAAAGAAAGAAAAAAGGAAAGGAAAGAAGAAAGGTGGGAGGTAGCCCTTTTCCCTACTCCTGCCTCCTGCTCTGCCCAGATGACCTCTTCAGAAACAAGGTAATAGAGTCCCCCAGACCCCCCATGTGATGTTGGGCTTCTTAGAGGCAAGAGAGCCAGAAAGTTGCAATGGCTAAGCGTCATGAAAGGACTTCAGAGATTGATAGTCATTGTTCCTCTAACTTCCTGTGGGAACCACATAGTAATAGCACCTCTGACTTGTCTGGGACCCCTCTTTTGAGCACTGCACTGAGATTACCGTCATCAATTTTTTTTCTTGCCATCTCCTTAAATGTGGATGGAATGTGATCTGACTTTGCTAAGGACATATTCTTTTTTTTTAAACACATTCTTTACCTCTAAGATGAACTCCTTTTGTCCTGACTACTTCACAGATCATTGGCAAAGTAGTTTTGCAAGGAGTATAAAAGTGTTAGAGTCACATAGGTTTAAACTATAAGCAAGGGAAATTGTGACCAGTAAAAGGAAAGCATTCATTCAAGGTCATCCTGTGTTGTCAACAGTCTGAAAGACCTAACCACCCAGTCCTAAATTCTTGCCAAGAGATCAGCCTGCATTTCTTGGAATTTTAACTGTACCAACCCTTCTACATCTACTTCCAAGAAGATTCCATGAGCTCTCAGGGATGGAGAAAACCAGGGCTTAAACCCGACTCTAAAGACGATTTCAACCACAGACCCATACACATTTACTCAGTGCCTCCTACAGCTGCTGTGTCGCGTGCTGGAGATGTAACAGTGAGCAAAGCTTGGCCCTCTGGGTTGGGGAACCCTCTTGGGAATAAGCGCTTCTCCCCATGTAAGGCTTCCTGGGTGGACTATATGTTAATGGCCAGGCTCCCCTTTCTATCCCAATACCAGAGGATTCAACTCCAGAACTGGTTCAGCTCGGGGTGGAGACTGCAGCTCCTTCCTGGTGGGTAGCTCCCATTCTGAACACTCCTCGTGTCCGACGAAGGGGACCCCTTGAGGATCTTGGCTCACAACTGCAGGGAAGCTGGAGTAGAAGTGGGACTCACCTCGGTGGTGGCTGCAGGGAGAGCAGAATAAATGTAATTTCAGGCTCTCCCAGCGGGCATTGGAAATGCCTGAGCAGATTCTCAGTTCCAACCCACCGCGGTCAGGTTTTCTGACCTCCGCGGGATCCTGAACAGCAACCGAGAAGGGAGCGCAGGGACCTGGGCTTGGTAAGCGGCCACAGAGGTCCCGGCTTCGGACCGGGTTGTGGCCCCCCGCGCCTCTTCTTTCTTTCCTATTTTCATCCGCTAACGCTGCCGCAGCTTGGTCCACAAGGGCCAAGCCGAAACACGTGGGCAAGCCCACTATAACTGAGGACCCGTGGGTGAGTGTAGGCCATCTGAATGGACTCCGCAAAGCTTTCACACGTCTAAAGTTCTTTTTTAAAATCTCTGCTCCCTTTCACCTTTCAATGGTAAGCAGAAGTGGCGCTCTTTGCTGACACGGGTCAGAATCACCCGTGTCTTTCTTCTCTGGCGTCCTCACGGTTCTGTTTCTCTCAGAGACCCCAAATTCTGCTCAGGGCACACTTTTCCGGTTAATTACCGTGAAACCTCACGTCATTAATTGTCCTAATTACTCTCGGGCCCTGTCACCCGATCCCCGGGGTACTAGGTCTGGTGGCGCGGCGCCTGGCACCGGGAGGGAACCGCAGCGCGTGAACACGCGGAGGCCCGGGGGGCGGGTCCCAAACTCGGCTGCGAGGGGCGCCGGGCGGGTCTGCGGACCCCCTCGGGCCCATCTGAGCAACTCCACCGCCCAGGGCTTGGGCTTGGGCTTGCACACCTCGGGTGCTCAGGCGGTTTCTGTTGACTAGAATTGGAGCATCTAGCGCTTCGAGAGTTTGGATACCTGGCGCCGCTGGGGTACTGGTCACTAAACAGGCCTGTTACTCCACTCCCTGCCTACCTACTGCAGGCAGCCTCGATCCATTACTCCATTTTATGTTTTTATAAAGAATCACTACTTGAAATTACAGGGGTTTTCTTTCTTTCTTTTTTTACCCGTTTGTTTCATCCCTTTCCTGCCTGCTCCCCGTGTACGTTCTTTAGATCAGAGACCTTGCCTGTCCTGTTCAGTATCCTCAGACCTGCAACCTGGCCGGGAGGGCAGCAGAGCCTCCGCTGCTCTGTGATAAATAAGTGAATGGACCGAGAGGCGGCTCCTCGGCTCCACGGGCGAACAATCGGCTGGGAGGACCCTACACTAGGAGGTGGGGTAGAGCCACACTTCCAGAGTCCACTTTTGTGAACACTTCCAGAGTTTAAAAGAGCTGCTAAGCGGCTTCTGGGGGTGGAGTGTGCTCCTTGCTAGGTTGGAATTTGGGAAACGGAGCTGACACTAAGGCACTCAGCCTCTTTCTGAGGCCGATACCCAGTCCCCACTCTTGTGACGGTGCCCTGTCTTTAGGACCAAACAGGGCTCACATGCTTTGTTGGCGGGCGTCAGTACACTCTGGCTTCATGATACGGCCCCAGCCGCTCCGGCCAGGACTAGGTGTCCCCCTGGCAGCCCCCTCAGGGGCGCAAACCCAGGCTACACGGTCCACGCCAGCTGCCCAGCCGGCTCCCCGCCCCCCGCTCTTCTGATTGGCTGGAGGCATCCCCCTGAACGCTCATAGGCCGGCCCACTCCTCCCTCCGCCCCCGGCACGGGCCGCGTTGCCGGCAGCCCCGAAGCTGCTACAAGTCTGGCCTCGGAGCTGAAGCCTGGCTCGGCGCTGCGAAAGGGTCCAGGAGCCCGAGCAGCGCGTGGTTTCAGTGGGGCGGGTGTTCTCACCCGGGACTCTCCGGCGGAACCGAACCTGGCAAATGGGCGCATGAAGGAACAAGAGCGGGGAAATGGACTGCTATTTGCGCCGTCTCAAACAGGAGCTGGTAAGAGCGGAGCGGGCGCCAAGAGGGCTGGGCAGCTCACCCCGATGGGTACCTGGCCCCGCCGGGTCCCGGGATCCTGGACGCACGCGGGTGGAGGAAGACCAGGGAGGAGAGGGGAACGCGCGCGGGTAGGCAGAGGGCAGGGCCTGTCCCGAGGGAAAGGGTCCACGAGGAAACTTGGAGCAAAGCATGTGTGGGAGTGAGGCCACACAAGCAAGCAACAGAGACTGAGCAAACCAAACCCAGAGTGAAAGGTGCCCAGGGAACCCCAGGGAGAAAAGAGGGCGCACCCCGAAACGGACGGACACGCGGACTGAGTGGGTCGCAGGCGCCCGCAGGGAAAGAGCGGGACGCCTGTGCCCGGCTGCAGGGGCGGCTCTGGGCGACCAGGAGCGCTCAGGGCGGGCGGGGTGCCGGGGAGCGCGGGCAGGAGCCCTGCCCGGGGCAGGGGGTCAGCCCGGGACTGGCGCTCAAGAGGAGCTGGCACCGCCTGAGGCCCCCAGCTCCGCGGGGCTTGGCAGAGCTGGCGCGGCTGCTGGGGCCGGCCGGGTCGGCTGTTTGCCTGGGCTTGTCTGCCAGCAGGGAGGGGGCTGGCAGCTGGAACTGCAGGGGAGGACTCTGCGCGGAGGAGGGGCCCGCCTGGCAGATCGCGAGCGGGAGCAATGGAGGCCCAGCCAGATGTCAGTTCTGGGCTTGGGGCTTGCGGAAGGAGTGTGAGGGGGCGGGGGCGCAGGGGCTGGGAGAAGTAGCTCAGTGGGGAGAGGTACCCAAGTGGGGGAGGGGTGGCTGCTAAAGCTCTGTTAGGGTCTCATCGACTTCATATACCTCCCCTCGCACCTGCCACTTTTCTGTTCTTTCTAGCGCCAGACTTCAGACAGACTGTCAACCAGGTTCTCTCTTGTGTCCTCGCCTCTGCCTCTTTCTGTCCCATTTAGTTTGTTTCTTTTGGAGTCGACCTCTTAGGCTCACTTTTCTCCCCTCCTCTTTCTTCTTACTTTTCAGAGCCAGGGGCACCCAGGCTCATAACAGCAGATCTGGATCCAGAAAGTGCCAGCCCATGGCTCTCCAGATTCCATGCCAGCCTTCTCTCACTCCTGCCTGCAGACGCTCCACTCTTCCTGCTTGGGGGATGGGGGGATGGGGCTTGGCAGCTGCGTTAGAGCCCAGCTTTGGGGGAGGGGGAGCTGGAAGCAGCAGGTGTTCTCATTGATGCTTCTTGGTCAAGTCCACCAGGCACTCTTCCTGTCTGTCCCACTCCAGGGCCTGCCTTCTCAGGTCGTTGGTCACTTCTCTGGTACTTCCAGCTGAAGCCCTTTTTGTGATGACACTCAGATGGGAAGGTTACCCAGAGAAATGCTTCTTGTGTGAAGAGCAGAAGAGTCTCAATCATGTCCCATCCCCAACTAGTTTGCACATGCTCGTTTTCCATGTCAGTTTGGAATGGCTGGCCCAGCCCAAACATACACAAACAATTCTGACCTTTCCTATGCATTCGTCCAATCCAGAAAGAAGGGTCAAGGTCGTCACAGATAATGTCTGATGTCCAAGGCCCATCCTGAGAAAAGAGTCTAACAGACTCCTCTTTTTATGCATGGAATCTGGGATCACACCACCCACCTCAGGATCTGCCTTAATCGAGGGTTTGTGGGTGTTCCTGGCATGGGCTTGCATTTTAAAATCCTACTGATTTGCATTTTTTTACAGCACCCTAGGTAGGTGGTGGTGAGAGGAGGAAGAGAGAGTCTGGGTGCCAGGAGAATAAAAAAGGCAAATCAGAATGTGCACTGAGCTGAGCTCCAGGTCTTGTTTTGCACCATCTCCTGCCAAGGACTGGAGCCCCCAGTCCCCAGGAGGAGGAAGGGGAGAGGGTGAAGTCACCCAGCACCCCATTAGCTTTCATTTGGCCTTTTGTCTGAGCAGCTTCAGCCTTTGACTCTCTTGGAGAGGAAGCCAATGCCTGGCCTGGGGCCCAGAATGACACTCAGATGGGAGAGTGCTGCACCCTCCTCCCCACCCCCATAGAACTCCGCCCCCTCCCCTGTGCCAGTCTGCCCAGAAAGGAGATGGGGCAGAATGACAGGCAGAGCCATTAGAGTCTCCTTCACTCTCTGACACCTAAGCCCAATGCTTAGGTCACGGAGCCAAATCTCAGCGCCTCAGTTTTGCCAATGGGTATGAAGGAGAAAGCAGAACTGGGTTAGCCCAGGCTCAGCCTTTTGGCTCCCTAAGGACTGTGGGGATTGGTTGTGGTTGTGATAGGAAGTTATTGGCTTGTTTATCTCCCAGGTCTGCAATGGGATGGAAAAAACCTACAGTCGGCTTCTGTCATGAGCTTGAGTGTGTGTGTGTGTGTGTGTGTGTGTGTGTGTGTGTGTGTGTGTGTGTGTTTTCATCCCAGCAGCCAGAACCTTCCCTGCCACCAACGAGGACTGTGTGTTGCCTGGCTTTGCCCTAAGTTAGTGTGTGCCCAGGAATGGCACTCATGTAATACTAGTCAAGTTTGATCTGCGTTTATTCCACTAAATTCCCTTCCAGAAGCATTCGTCCTGCAGACACTGTGGGTTAAACCTGCTGGAAAAGGAAACATTAACGGGCTGTGAAACTATCTCGCTGTCGAGGGTGTTCTGCACCCCCCTTCCCGCATCTCGGTCCTGTCCATGGCCCAGAAAATCTAGACAAGAAGAGTCTGTTCCTGAAAACCAAAGTAGCAGAATTTCCTGAAGCAGAAAATTTGCACTGTAACGAGCGAGCACTGTGGGGAGGCTGAGGGTTTGGGGATCCTGGCTCAATTAGGTTGATGTCTAGAGAACTGGCCCTTTGCCCCTGCCTGGAAGGGGACGGGGATCAGGTTTCAGGGACAAAATGTGGCAGGAGAGGAGCAGCAGCTGACAGACTTCTTCATTAGGATGAGGGGGTCGGGGCTGCACATACTCAGCAGGGAGCACATGTCTCCCTCCTCTAGCCGCTGAAGAGGGGCCCTGCCTGAACACAAGGCCTTGGGACCAGCTGTTCCTTACACACTGCTCCCTTGAGGGCTTCCAACAAAGGGGGTAGACGCGGCACACGGAGGAAGCATATGTAAGATGCTCACAGGGCGTTCCTCGTGAATTCAGATCAGTAGAGAGCAAACAGAGTGCATAAAAGCCGAGTGAGCGGTGCTCGTGAAGTACAGACAGGCTGGGAAGGCTTCCTGGAGGCAGAGGAGGTTGGTGGAGGCCAGCTGCTGCAATGTCCCTCCTAGCTGAGGCACAGGGAAGCAGCAGAGGGACTTCTCTCAGGGTGGGGAAAGTCGTCCTAGGACAATGTGCTGTTCCTAGAAGGCAGTTACCTAGCTGCGAGTGGCCACAAGTTCAGGAGGTTCTGGCATTCGGAGGAGGACCAAGGCCTAAAGGCAAAGTAGGGAGGAGAAAAGGTGGTGTTAGAGAAGAGATACAGCAGGAAGAGCTTTCAGCTCCTGGGGAAAAAGAGCAAATGTCCCGGGTCAGAAAAAAAGCTTTTGCAAGGGATCTCACAGTGCAGTCTCCCTTGATGTTTAGAGCTAGGGTGACGAGGACTTTGGACTAGAAAAAGTGGGGTGGTCAGTGGGAAGAACGTTGGCCTGAACTCAAATCCTGGCTCTGTGTGACCCTGCTAGATTACTTAACCTCTCTGTGCCTTGGTTTTCTCATCTGTAAAATGGGGTTTTAAGAATACCGACTTTATATAGCTCCCATGAAGATTAAATGACATTATGGGTAAAGTGCCTCCCCAACTGTACATCCTTACACATAACACAGTGCCTGATGTGTTGTAGGCACTTGGTAAACTCCTGATAATGTACTGATCAGACTGGTATGCATTGATTCACAGAACACATTTACTGAGTTCGTACCATGTTTAATGCACTTGACCAGACACTAGTGCTATAGTTACAAATATAAATAGACACAGATCCTGCCTTCAGGGAACTCACAGTTTAATAGGATAGATAATAATAACATTTGTTGAATGGTAACGTTTATTGATATGCCAGGCATATAATGTATGGTAATTTAATTGCCAAAGCAACACTAAGATGTTGTACTTCCATTATGCCCATTTAATAAGTGAGACATGGGGAGGTTCAGTGACTTGGCCAATGTCATAGAGCTGATAATTGGCAGAGCTAGGATTCCAGCTCAGCCCGCCTGAGTGCAGAACTACATTCTTCAACAGTGCACGTATGCAAACCTCTAGTACAGATAGAAGATACGGGCTGTATGAGGTGCAATTCCGTGCTCCAAGAAAGGAGAAATGACCTCCAGCTGGGGGATCAGGGAAAGCTTTGTGGAAGAGGTGGTAGCATTTGAGCTAGACCTCGAGGGTTAAATGGGGATGTTAACAGGAGAAAAACAGATTTCCAGGCAGATAATGAAACAATGTGAGCAAAAGGCACAGAGATGCAAGAAATGAGGATGTCTGAAGACTCGCTTGAGTTTGGCTAGAACCATAGGGTATGTACAGGGAAATAGTGGGCAACGTGGCTGGAAGAGTTCTTGAGGGCAGCCTGTGGGGGTCTTGAGTGCCATTCTGAAGAGCCTGGCCTTTTCTAGATGCATGTAACGCAGCTAGATCAGAGACATGCCCCGGGATCTAGGAGGTGGTGGGGTGGAGGGGGTGGGAAGGAGGACATAGAGGCAGGAGGATGAGTTAGAAAGGTATTATAAGAGCCCGCCAGGAGAGTAGGAAGGCCTGAACAAGGAAGGAGAAAAGGAAGGTACATCCTTGAGGTCCCATGGATGCTCAAGGAACCTGACTGACTGCAGTGGACAGGAACTGAAGCTGCTCAGGTGAGGTGCAGAGGCCAGCTTCCCGAGGGGCAAGATTGGGCCCCCCTCTCCATTGGCCTCTTGCCCGAGCACAGGGCCCCCAGAAGATGGCTCAGTTGGGAGAGTGGGTTCATCCATTTCACTCTTCCTCCTTTCTTTCCTCTCCTCCCTCCTCCAGCTCTTGGCACAGTTTCTACTTTACCTTCCTGTTGAGAGTTCCAGCCAAGAGCAGGAGGCTGTGAAGGTCCCCATTCACTGAGCTGGAGAATGGGCCACTTGGCAAAAAAAACCGAGGCTTTTCCCATTTCCGGCCCTGGACCTCCTTCTAGCTTCCAGAGGGCTGAAAGGAGCTGTGTGGGGATCTTGTGAGTAGTGGGGGTGGGGGAACGGGGCAGGGCACACTGCCAGGTCCATGGGCAAAGCTGGAGCCCTCGTCAAAGGATTCCGGCTGAGCCGGGAGAGGGCGTGAGATGGATGGATGGAGGGCACAGCTGTGTGATGGGTCGGGGCCCGGGAGAGGGCTTGGGAAGGTTGCCCAGGACGCTGGTGTTGCACTTTCCCATTCTCACTCCTCCCAGCGAGTGCCAAGGAGGGGAGGCTGCTGTCCACGGACAGCTGACCCCACTCTACCCCCTCGAGGGCTGAGGTTTGGAGGTCCAGGATGGCAGGGTCTGACTTCAGAGGAGCGTCTTCCCCTTCAGCCCCAGGCCGGCAGTCCTCTTCTCCCTTCAGATGGTTCAGTGACGAGACACCTTCAGTGGAAATGAGCTGAACTGGGTCTTGGAATCCCTCCACAACTGCATGGTCTTCCTCCCTGTGCATCTCTCACTGACTCTCCTGGTTTCTGCTCACACCAAACCAGGGATTATGATAATGTGGGAAGCCCGCTGTCCAGGAGGAAGAGGGCCAGGTTTGGGGTCCCAGTCCTCCCACTAATACACCTCAGAACCTCAGGCAATAGATCAGCGTCTCCACTGGAGTGCTCAAGATGACATCAGGTGACAGTCAGATGAAAAACTTCTAGTTTTAGAGAGAGAGAGAGAGAGAGTTACCATCTGTTATGGCAAGTGAAATGCATTTCACGTAAGTTCTTATATAAATACATTTATATAAACAGTCTATTTAAATCAAATATTACATAGGAGAGTAGGCCATATGTAGATATGGTAAAAATCATGAAGGAAGTCTAGGGAAGAATGTTTGGGAAACGCTGAGGGAGAAAGCTAACCTGTCAGATTCCCAGTTCCTCGTCCTTCAAGTGGGGAGAACTCCTGCCTCGCCAGCCTCCCTGAGTAACAGATCCCGCCATGTAGATGGAAGGACAACTGCAGTGCACATGGGAGGGGTGATCAGTTTACACAATCAGAAACCGAAGCACAAAAGGTTGGTGAGTGTGTCCGGAGTCACGTGGCCGAGTTAGTCAGCGAGAACAGCAGGCCAGGTCTCCAGACTAGAGCAAGCAGCTTTTCACAGACACCAGGAGGGCCCTGGGCCCTAATACAGGAAGGAAGCCATGGGCTGGTTTCAGCTGCAGCAATGGGAGAGACTAAAGCTTAACATGAAGAAAATGTTTAGAATGAAACAGTTCAAGGTCCAGGAGATGCTGGGGGGTGGCAAATGAACTGTGGGGTTGTGTGGATGCTAGGAGGGTGGGGAGAACTTTCTCAGAAAAGAGTCCCACAACTGTCTCTGGGGTATGCTTATGAAGGGTTTTATGTTTGATGGTGGAGCACATTAGCTCTGTGTGTGTGTGTGTGTGTGTGTGTGTGTGTGTGTGTGTGTGTGTGTGTGAGGGAGAGAGAGAGAGAGAGGGAGAGAAATAGGGGTGGAGAAAGACAGAGGTGGCTGCTGTTAGATCTATTCCCACTCAGACTAAGTTGGGTATGCTTTGCTTTGGTCCCTGTCCGGTGGATGGACCTGGGCTCTGAGGCACTGGGAGGCCAGAAAGGAACGCAGCACCCTCTCGTGTGGAGACTGGAATTCAGTGCTGAGGAGCTCTCGCTGGAGATTTTCTGGGATTTGGCCCCTCTCCTTTGCTCCCACCCCACAGTGCGC